TCTCCCCCCCCCCCTCTCTCTCTCTCTTTCTCTTCCTCCCTTTTATGTCGTCGTCCCAGAGTCGCTCGTCTTTATCCCTTTCTTGTTTTCTCTCTCTATTTTTCCTAACTCTATCCCGGAACCTGCACTGGGACTGGACGAAGGTCGTCGCTGATCGCCAGTACAATTTCGCCGTAAATCACTGTAAATTGTCGATGTAAAATAGCGCGGTTAATTAGATAGACTAACCTGCAATAGGGCGCGTTTCTTGCGCGTCAGCGAGCGTCGAACGGCCACCCTGCTCCATGTTCGTCGTCCTCCTCACTGCCCTCTGCAACAAATAACGACATGTTCATTTCGAAACTTGGACTGATGGCACTTGTTCCGACTCAGAGGTGTCTGTATCTTAAATTGAACTAAACGTTAATAAACAGAAATATTTCTCAAACTCGTTGAAGTTAATTCGTGAATCAGAAATGTCTGTATCTTAATATTAGAAATATAATCTTAATATTAATATTAGAACTAATAATATTAGATTTAATATATAATTAATCTAAGAATAATCTTAACATTAGAACTACCGACCACCAAAGTATAAAGATTGCATTGAAGGAATTAACATGTAAAACTTTTATTCGTGTATTTTTATCAAAATTATCCAAATCACAGAGTCGTGCTTTGAAGAATTATAAACTGGCCATGTTGACCATTTTGGTAATTCTAGCTAAAATTTCAAATTTGTTCAAGTATAGAATAAAGTACTTGTTGTAACGAAAAATTGAAGGATCTGGGAGAAGCGAGTCAATAGGTTAAGGTCAAAGTAAAAAATTTGAAAAAATATCTTTAACTCGCCTTCAACGTTATCGTAGCAGCGTAATTGATCATTAACAGAAACTGTTTATGATTGGATCGCACATTTCTGAATTTACATTTCTTATGAATACCAGCGAGCAAATGAAATCTGAATGAAGATCCGTTTTACGACAAGTATTCTACTTTGTGCGTGTATATCTTGCATATTATATGCATTTTATGAATACCTCATTTTCAACCATATGGCGTGAATAATGTTTCTCTAACGAACTTCTCTTTAGTACTTTTAAATATTACACTAAAAATACATTAAAATTACATTAAACATTGTACTAAAAAGTCATTCAGGATCTCCATTTTCTACGACGAGATTTGAGCAAAAATTTTAAATATTAAACCTTCGAGCGTACAGGAATATTTTAGTCCCTTTAGTTAGGGGTTAAGCTTCTCGCAAATGTGTGAAATTCTAAAAATTTGTTAACGTATCGTCGATGAAACGAAGACGAGCGACTAAGCAAGTCTCTGACACTAGTCGTTGTTTATTCTCGAATCCTTTTAGACCCCCAAGACAGCAGGGGTAGTGCAGGGAAGTTCCATTGGAAAAGTGGCTGAATCGCGAATGAGAAAAAGGGGACGAAGAGATTTCGTCATTAACGCCGTCGAGCCCCTAACGACGAGTTTTATGCTTCGTCCAGCCGGGAATCTGCCCTCGGGATCGTTGGAGTTTTAATGCCCGCGAGCAGTCCCTCTGGGCTCGGTGGCACGCAGTGTGTACACGACTTGGCTCTTGCCTCTTAAACTTCCACCCAAGAATGGTCATATTTTCATTTCGTGTCATTAACGGATTACGCGTTATACGTTTTCTTTTTTTTTTCTCGCGAGGGCGTAAAAAGGAAAATCACTTTAAGGTGCGCGTTAATGGGGACGGTTTATTA